GAGAAAGAGTTATTTTCCTCTTATAATTATGCTATCTCGACATGTGTTTTTAGATGTGGGGAGATATTTTTTTTCTAGCAATTTAAATGTAATCCTTCCAGTCATGGCAACAGGAAGAGTATTCTAACTTTGGTTTGTCACTGAGCTATTTCCAGTCACCTTCACAGTAACTGTTACCTCATGTCCAGAGCTCTTCTGTAATCGAGAGGAAGGACCACAGTTTTTCTGTTAGAGTATATCCGATGGGAAAAGAACCTTAACTCCCATACAGTAAAATGAGAGCTTAAATTAACAAAGTAATTAACCCCTCTGTCAAGTTATGACTCAACCTAAAAAATCCTTACTGTATGCAGTCTTTAAAAGTGAGCAACTGAGGCTTATCTGTGCGAGTTAGCGAACCTGGCTTTTGGGGTCTACAGAACCTGAGCCACTGCAAAAAGGAATCCAGCTAAAGTACGTTTCTTTCTAACAATGTAGACAGGACTACGTAATTTCCAAGTATTTGGCCACAACTGCATTACTGGCAAAGGTTAGTAACTCCTGAGGTGAGAAGGACATTACTTGTCCAATTCAAGCCTAGAGTATTTACAGAGGATGCATTAGCAGTGAGTTGGCATGCTGAAGACAAATATACCGTACTACTATTCTTTCAAATCATCCAAAGAAATTAACAAAAAAGTTGCAAAATTGGAAATTTTATCTGAAAAGATTTGTGACAGGCACCTGAATCAAAACAATTCTGAAAAATGTAATTGTTTAGACTGATTGTCCTGATCTGCTCCCAGAAAAAGACAAAGAGTATCTTGTCGTGTCTCTGTACCCTTCCACATTTCACAGACTAAACTAGAAGGAAGTGCAACAAGACTTGCACAAAGCCAGTAGCAGACCTGTCCTCCAAAAGACAACTGCGGAAGTTCCACGGAACTGCCCAGATGGAACTGCTCACACAGAATATGGAAATTATTTACTCTGTGCCCTTATTTTATGCGTTATAAGCCTGAATTACACTGTATTTTGCTTTTATCCTGCATTTTTCTCCTCTAATTTCACATTCTTGAAGCTACAGATTTTTGCACTGACAGTACACAGTCACTTTGCAGAAGTCGTCAGAACGGAAAAAAAAGTCTTAGAGGCTGCACAGAGGGTATGTGACGTGGGTCAACTCAGGCAAAATTCAGGAAGAACATTTTCAACATAGAGCATAATATGGCTAGAATTATTGATACACACAGGGAAAGGAAGACACATTAAATCTGTCTTACAGACAGTAGCAGAATGTTCAATAAAATCCTGCAGGAAAAAGAGGCAGATAAGAGGGAAGGAGGTGCAGGGCCTAGGAAAACAAACAAACAAAAAAACCAAATCCCCCAAATGGCATAAAACCTAGTCAAAATAAAAAAATGATATGATCAGGAAGAGGAGCCAAAAATATGCGATTTGGGCAAGAGCTGGACGGAAGACAACAAGGCAGAATGTGGAAAAGGTAATACTTTTGAGTAGCAGTTTTCATGAATACCAGCGACCAAATGATTTGGGCTTGGACCAGAGCTGTATATACCTGCAGAGAACGAGAA